ACGAAAGGGTGATATCAATATGAGTAAAGGAAGAGTGAGTAGAAAAGTGGGTGGGGGATCCATCATTCAGAATAATTCCATTAGAAGTAAGTAAAAAATCTTCAATTTGACGACCTTTAGAATTAGCTGAAGGAGAACCCCAAAGGGGACTCCAAGCATTGAAGTCACCTGCTATAATATAGGGAGTAGAGGAAGAGGGAGTAAGATTATTAAAGTCGGTTAAAGAGAAAAATTCATTAGGAGGAGAATAAGCACAAATAATTGAAATTTTGTTTGCTAACTGGAGCTCTACAGCAGCAGATGATATAGAGGAAGTAGGGTAATAGGTAGAATGAGGCAGATTTCTTTTAATTAGGATTGCAATGCCTTGTTTACTATTGGTAATTTGGGGGAGGTTGTAGAAGTGTCCAATATAAGCTTTAGTAGTAGGGGCTATGATATTATGTGCAAGGTGGGTTTCATTTAACAAAACGACTGAGGGGTTAATAGTTTTAATTAAGTACTCTAGTTCAATATAGTTATTTAAATAACCATTCATATTCCACTGCAAGAGAGAAATCATGAAGGCAAGAAATAAAAGAAAGAATTACTAAGGGCCGGTTACTCAATGTCTGGTTAGCACTAATCTGCGGTTAAACATCGTTACCGACGTCTTCGACTCCATGCATATAACAGGGAGTCGGTAACGTCGATAACGATGTTTAACCGCAGATTAGTGTTAACCAGACATTGAGTAACCGGCCCTTAGATGAAGAGGGGGGAGAGGAAAACTCGAGTATTAGGTGGGGAGAGAGGAATTTGTTGGGAAAAGGAAAGGCGAGAGACGAGCATTGGGGAAGAAGGGGTGTTGGGTGACGAGTTATCAAAGTTGGTAACGGGGGAGAAGTTAGGGGAGGGAGAGGAGTCTCCATTAGAAGGAGAAGAATTAGATGCGATGGAAGATTCATATTTTGATTTAATGTTGTTTTCAGTTTTTGTTGATGATTCTATGATTTGGTTGGATGTTTTTGTTATGTTTGCATAGGAATTAGCTTTGGGAGTAAACGGGATTTGGCTGTTATATTTTTTAATGGCTTCACGCATTGAACACTTATTTATAGTTTTAACATTGAGGATCTCTCTCATCTGTTGGAATTTAGGACATTGGTTCGATGAGGAAGGGTGGTTGCCTGAACAATTAGCACATAACATCTCTTGATCTTATTGTGCTAATGATTTTATTAATAAATGAAAAATAAGACTCTAGTGCAGTCTGATGGAGTATGGGGGGGAAGTGTACACGTGGCACAGACTGGGGGATTATGGCAATGCTTAGCTGTGTGACCAATAGATTGACATACCTTACAACGCATAGGGTTAGGGTAGTATGGACGAACGTCAAGAATCCTCCAGGCGACCTCAGTTTTTTCCGGGAGAGTATATTTATCGAAGGTTAACAAGATGGCGCCAGAAGGCTTACGTGTGCTATCAATAATTTTTGAAAATTTATAAGCAGCTGTTACTCCTTGTTCCTTGAGGCCTTCAACTATTTCGTCTTCGGAAACGTGGATTAAGAAGGGCGCATAAATTGTGCCTTTTACCGAATTGAGGTTATTGTGTAACTTTATAGAAATATTTCCAACACCGGGTAATGTCTTAGCATTCAGGAACCTATCAGCAGCTTTCTTATTCTTAGCAAGCAGCAATAAGCTGCCATCACGAAGCTCAGAGATGACGTTGCCCTCACTGCTTATGGCTTGAATTCCTTTATGAATCGCAAAGCACGAAAAAGTTGTAATCGGTTTTTTATCATCAGATGATTTTATAATTAGGAATTTCGGGTCATCCTTTTTATGATCGGGAGTCCAGGGAAAGGGTCCAACTGCGTTAAATCAGGTTTTTTTCGTTTTGGTTTCGGGGACGTAAATAACAGGGCACACCTGTTCTCCCCAAGGTAGGTGGCCCCCGGGGCCATTTCGAACACACAAATATGTATTTACGCACTTGGTTTTAATCTTTATTTTTAAACAAAAAATATATAAAGTCAGTTGAATGAAGAAAATAACTGTAACCGTAACCGTAATATAACTGTTTTACACAAAGTCTATAACGTTTATAAGATAGCGGGAAACACAAGAGAAAAATCAAAAAATGCAACCGTTCACTGAGAGAGCTAGTAGGTAACTGTTCAATTGTTTTATTAGATGTTTTGCCCAATAATGAGCAGCAAACAAATGAAAAAGTGAGGCGAACAATTTTACGCGATCGCAGCAATCACATATAAATACAGTATGCAAAATACTGTTTTCTCTTTCGCTATTTCAAACTATCATTTTATATTTTATAGCTTTCTTGCACTCCTCAAGATTTTGAGTGACTTGCAACCTTATGTACACAAAAAGTTCCATTCCTGGGAGCATAGCGAATGGACCAACATCGCTTTGGGAAGGAGCACCGTACTATTGCCGACGTTACCGACACAATGTTGTCAAATACATTAACTATATAAAAACATTAAAGTACGTATTTATACTTCTTAACATATTTTCCGTATTTTATTTAGGAATATACTTTAATAAACGCAATTCCTGGCTTAGCCAAAGAGCAAGAGACAACAACAGAAGGGAACCGGACTGATGAGCTGTAGCGAGAGGAGCAGGAACGTGATTTAACAACGTGGTTACACCTAAAGTTGCTTGCAACCAAGCCATAGCCATCGTGGTATTTACAGCGTAACGAGCACGTTTTGGCAAAATACATCTCTTTGAATACATCCATAGTAAGGAAACTGCCACAACAGTAGTTATTCCCAATATCCTGTGATCAAATTGGACTGTTGTCGGATTCTCCGTGAAATTCCTTTGCACAGGTTCAAATGATAGAATGTCGTCAGGAATCCACTTATCAGCCATTTTTGGAAAGGAATTGTATACTAATCCAGCATCTAGACCCGCAACGAAAGCTCCAGATATCGCCGTAAGAAATACAAGTCCCTTAGTCACATAAGCTAAGTTTTTCAAACGAAAAACGTTTTTTGAAGACGTGACAATATTCGCAGGTGGCATAAATTTTCTCAAACCTGATGACAAAAATAAACTATATATGATAAATGCGACGCCCAGATGTGAAGCCAATCGATATTGTGACACTCTAGGTACATCGTTTATGTCCTGAAATTTGTCCTCAAGCCCAGATTTGACCATAAACCAACCCATAAGGCCTTGCAGGCCAATAAGTGCTCCAAGTACTAAAATATATTTTTTAGTTGCATTGGTAAAATATCCCCGTCTCCAAAAATAAATAGCTGGAATAGCAAAAACAGCGCCAATCCCGCGTCCCCACATTCTATGTATATATTCCATCATATATATAAATTTGAACTCTTCTAAAGTCATTGACCTATTTTTCCTAAAAATTGATGAAAATGTACCTAATGTAATAATTATTATCCAAAACAATTCAACTTACATCTTGAATTCAGGGAATTGCTGGTATTTATGGAATTCAGCTTTCCATTCATCCAAGTTTGATGGCTTTTTTTCGCCAAGCAATTTCCAGTTCACCATCGATAAGCCTGACTCAGTTAGCCTAGTTACGCCACCTATTTAAATGCAATTTTAAAATTGTAAATAAATAAATTCCATCTGAAGGGAAGTAAAACATACCTAGAGCCACTGCGACATACACCATACCACTACAACCAAGCAACCAAGCTCCAATAATTTTTTCACCCCTCCTCTGTGTGCTATTGCAGCGAATACTCCAAATACTCGTATTTAAATTAATGTCCTGCGATACATATATGAGAAAAATAAGAAGGTATATCGAACTACATAAAGTTGCCTTAATTCACAAAGGCCTTAATTAGCAAATTTTCTATTTTACAGAAGCAAAAAACATTAAAAAAAGTACATCATAAACTTAAGATACTAACACTGTTTTTGATACTAACACTTTCCAATTTTTAGAAATAAAATGTATTTTAAGATAGCCTATCAAAATTTGTACAAAACGCAGTTTCGTAAAGTGCTGGTTAAGGTCTTTGTGAATTAAGGTAACGACGTGTACATATTATATATTAATATAAATTTGCGATATCAATTATATTTACCCACTAAACAAAGGCATCGGAATTTGTCGGAAATCAGACTTTTCAGAACTCGGTCTGATCATGGTGGAATAAATAATTTTTATTTCATCATGGTTGTTTTCGGAAAAATTGGGAATTGTTTAGCTATTTGTACAACGATTTAGGGGTGGGGGCGGGGGGGGGGAGGGGGTGGGGGCCCCACAAATCCCCCCTAAACGAAAGAGGATTGACGCCGCTTTATGAAACGTAGGGGAATTTTATATTTTTTGCAAGGAAAAAACAAAGTTAATCATGCGTCCGAAGAAGGGGGGCTGAACACCTTTCTGCGTAGGCGGCCTTCGGCCACGCTTAGGGATTATAACCCTTATAACCCTTATGTCTGTGTGACATAACTGGGGCTACCGTCCCAGTGATGTAACCTTGGGAAAGGATGAGGTAACTAGAATTCCCTTTCTGTGTGGTAAACCTGGGGCTGCCGCCCCAGTGATGTCTATTTTGGTTACTGGGTGTTTTGTAAAAATATATTGTATATAAAAATGTATAACAAAAATTTGCAACAAATACCATATTTCCAACCGACATTATTGTTAAATTAGTGCACAGATTAAGTAAATTAAATTTTTGTAATAAAGCGTGAACTGTTGTCTACAAGTGTGTGTAAAAGTTTTTTGATTCGATTCACGCGTTTGGGCACAGCAACCCAAAATCGTTGTACAAATTCATAAACAGCACCCGAAAAATCTTTAGATGCGACGTAACGATTTCAGTAAAGAAAATCGAAACAAATTGGTTGGTGGGTATTTACGGATACCATAACCATTCTTAATAACATATAAGATGCGTTCCAAATGCTTCACGATTTGGAGGTTTTTACAGGAAACCGTTCCAGGTGACCATCTTCCACCTTTTCCTGTAAAACCGGCAAATCGTAAAGCATCTGGAACGCAACTATATGTCATTACGAATGTACATGTGTATGTACATAAACAAAGTTGAGTGAATATTTTACCTTTTGAAATCGGATGTTAAGTAAATGGTTACGTCGGTATAATGCACTCCGGCAAGCAGCAGTGAAAATTCCATTTTTGTTTAGAAGAATTCGTGAACACCCGAACATAATTTGAAAATTTATAACAAATTAACTAATTGACGTATTCGCTCATTTCACCATCAGCACTAGAGGTGCAAAACTATCGATGGCACTATCGATAGTATCGATGTTTTTTATTTTTCCCTACTATCGATTGTTTTTTGGTCCTATCGATAGTCCGACAGACATGTGATTCAGTATTTATTTTAGTTTTATTTCTTTTTTTCTTTTCATTTCTCTTAAACATCCAAGTTGAACTAAAAATTTGGTTGCTACTTTTTTAAAAGAGTAATGTCAAATTTCGAAAATGACGGAAAACCTTGCATCTTTTAAAATACCGCTAAAAACTGATACAAATTAATTTATACCAAAACTTTCAATATTTACCACCACTATTTACTATTTATGAAAAGGTAAATAAAAACCATTAATTCTCAGATAAAAAATGGTTTCCTCTTCTAAAATTGAAATTTACTTGATGAATGCCTTATATATGACGGAGGATATCTAAAACCACAAATATAAAATCTCAGTATACCCAATTTTTTTCCATTTCAAATTTTCAATAACTTTACTTCTAACTTAACGGTTAAACAATTAAAAAAAGTGTACAGTAGTTTACAAGAATATCCAAACGTAGTTTCGAAATATATTCTTAAGGAAATCTTCATACGAAAATTGAGCGAAAACCATATAAATACGATACTATCGACGATATATCGATAGTTTTGAAAATAATATCGAAAACTATCGATGGTCTGACTATCGATAGTTTTGCACCTCTAATAAACACAGTTTATACCATGATAAAAACATAGCAAGGTAGAACCGTTCTCTCAATTTGTCGGCCATGATTTGTTTTTGAAGTTTGCCAACATTTTAAAATCATATAAAAGTGAAAACAAAAAATTGAAATTGTTCGAAATTGTTGTTGCTTGCGATTGAAAATGAAAATGTTTGTGTGAGCTTGTGAGTAAATTTAAAAATTAAATTGTTTGGAAACGTCAAGAATTTTAAAAGTGACTCTCAGCGGTTCTACCTTACTATATTTTTATCATGGTATATACAGTAATAAACCTTTTTGAGTACTCCTCGGGGGTAAAATCTGATCAGGGTTGAAAATGAGAATGTTGATTCAGAGTTGTATACAAAATTACTGTGGTATGAAAGGGAGCAACAACCGTACTATGGCCGAGTGGCGCAAGTCATGAATGTGTAATAGTGCCCGAAACTAATTGCAAAAGTGTAAAAACATTGCAAATTATTGTCTATTATTATAGATACTAGTACAGATAGCTCATAGTTCATAGTTCAGTGTATAATAATTAATATTACACCGTACATGATAATGAACTTTTAAATGCTGAAAACGCTTGTAACTTGTAGATCACTCAAACTTGGGTGTGCTTAATGGACTGTCTGGGCGGATGCGCTGGCAGGCATTGGGCTCTGTATAGCTATACAAACCTGGTTTTTTTTTTTTAATAAAAACTTTAATATATTCGGAAGTTTAGAATTTTGCTTGATAAATTCACAAAATTTACGCTTTTCATAAAAATATAATCTTACAATGGACTTTTTTTATTTTAAACTTACGTTTAAGAAAACTCCATTCAATGCTATAATTACGATTTGAGTTTTCCAGTTTATAAAACACAAGCGTTAATTACGTACTTAACTATTGATATTATTCCTCATTAAGCATGTATATCAGCATACATTAAAGATGAATATTATACTTCACCTACATTTTGTTCGTAAATAACACATAATTATGTATATTTTATCCTCGAAATGAACTTTTTCTAAGGGCCTGTGCCAATTGATAGAAAAGTTCTATGGTGGAAAAACTTTTTACTATGGTGAGAAAATTTTACATTTCTGCTGTGCCAATTCGTAACTTTTTACTGCTGGAAATTTTTGACAGTTGCTTTGATGCACAAGAAGACTATCGAGTTTGCTATTTATAAAATGCAGCAATTATATAGAAAATATTTGCCTTTGATGATTTCAATTCTTCTGGAACTGAAATCCATGCATTTATTAGACCTTTTAGCAGTAATATTAGAAATAAAAACACGTCAAAACCGTCTGGTAAGTGTGTTCACAAAAATGTTTAAAACCGTGTACAATTGTTTCCAATAAAAACATATGTCGTTTTAGGGTATTATGTACATGCAACAAGACGTTTATTCCAAAATACTAAGCAGCATTATGAACGGCGATAACAAGACTACAAAAATGTATCTTAGGTTGTCCTCTGCTTCGTTTCGAAAAATTGTAACTCACATTCCCAAAAAGCGCCACGGATGGTCAGTGGAGTACGAAGTCATTTGCTTAATAAAGTCTTCAAATTATTTATATTGTTCTTACTCACTTCCAGCCTTCGTTGCTGTTGGCGTTCTTTGAACTGAACCAAACATCCTTGTCAATGCGCTTTTCCAGAAGGATTCTGCGTTCTGAACTGCTCCCTGTAAAATAGTATTTTTAATTAAAAAAATACATAACGCCTTTTCATATGTAAATCTGAAATTAAATCTTACAAGTTATATTTATTTTTTTGCCGGCGGGACTATGTTCTTTTATTTCCACTCGCTTTTGTTTTCTTTAATTTATGTGTATACGTGCGTTGTTCGTTCTTCTTCTTGATAATGCTTGCTGTCAAATTTTTCACTAGCCCTGCCGTATCAAACATTTTTATTCACCTCATAGCTGTCAAAAATTTACTATCCAGAGAACTTTTCTATCAATTGGCACAGGCCCTAATCATGACTCGAAATTCCCCACAGTAAGTGTTGCCGTGCGAACAAAACGAAAGCGCTGCACACAACCCAAAAGTACTCCTCGGGGACCAAATGGTGAAAAACTGCGAGAAGGTTTATTACTGTATATACTGTGCCATCAGTCTCGTTTCTATCAAGGCGAATTTATACAAGGTCAAGGCGAATTTATAAATTCGCCTTATATAGGGTGATCGCCAAGGCGAATTTAAACAAGTGGTGTTGATGGCGAATTTAGATTTTCACCGCTGTACTTAATGTCAAAATAGTGTGTTTGTTGTAATATTAATTCGCCTTGTTTACAACAAACATCAACATCAACACCACCTTATATACATTCGCCTTGGACATTAAGAAGTACCGCGGCGAAAATCTAAATTCGCCAGTAACACCCCCTTGTATAAATTCGCCTTGGTCAAAGTGATGTGTTTGTTGTAAACAAGGCGAATTCATATTACAACGAACGCATCATTTTGACCAAGGCGAATTTATACAAGATGGTGTTGTAAAATCAGCTGATTTCTTCGCCTTACATGTATTTTGGTTTTGCTTTTACTGATTTGACAGCACACCTATCAAAAGCAAAAACAAAATACATGTAAACTTTAGAGCGAATTGAAATTTGACGTAACACCCACTGTTGAAGACGGCGACCAATTTAAATGAAACGCACGAAATATTTATAACAATACAGTTTTGTATAGTTTTAATATCTGATGGATGTGGATAAAATTTGATCAGTAAAAAAGAAAATTCATTACAATCTGAAGCAACTTACTTATTCGTGCTCTTCGTGTGATTCGTTCCAAAAGATAGAACCGGAAGCGTACAAACAATATGGCTACAAATTATGCAGAGTTGCTTATAATAGTACATAGTTTTAGAAAAGAATAAATAAATCGATATCAAAGTATTCAGTACAAAGTGTTTAGCAAATAAACCGGTATTATCCAGAATCTAAGTTTTATCAGTAACATTCTCCTCTCCGTGATTCGAATCGCTGACGAGAGAATTACCCTTTACATCGAGTACGGCAATCTTTGATGCAGGCCGTCCTAGATTTCCCGCAGTGGTTTGCACCACCACTGACCTCACTTGACCATCCGCAGCCACTGTTGTCTCCAACACGATGCCTTTCTTCCACTGATTACGGCTTTCATTGTCGTCGCATACGATTACGACGTCACCAACACATATCGGTTTAACTCGTTTGAACCACTTTGCTCGTCTTGTCAAAGTCGGAAGATATTCGAGAACCCATCTCTTCCAGAACGTTTGCTTTAGCTGCTGTGCTACATTCCACTGCTTTCTCAAACACCCCATCTCTGGCACCTCAGCTGTTTGAACGAAGTTAGGACACCCCAATAGGAAGTTGTTTGGTGTAAGCGGTTCGTCGTCGATGCTCTCCAGCGGAACGTGCGTTAACGGACGAGAATTCACCAAATTCTCTGCTTCAATAAGGAGGCTTTGTAAAGTCTCCACCTGCGGAGCTCTTTCCTTTAATGTGAATTGCAGGACTCGCTTCACCGTGCGGACCATTCGCTCCCATACGCCACCTGCCGATGGATTTGCCGGAGCATTAAACAACCACTCGATACCCCTGCGACAGCATTCGTCCTCAATGCCCTTCTCAACCTGAACCCACATTTCTTTGCTAGCACCAACAAAGTTCGTGCCTCGATCGCTCCTCATACGAATAGGGACGCCCCTTCGATTAATGAAATTACGGCATACAACAATTGTGGCGTCTGTGGACAAATCCTTCGCTAGCTCTAAGTGAATAGCTCTGACCGTAAGGCATGTGAATATGGCCACCCATCGTTTTTCATGTCGACGTCCGATGGAAACCATGACTGGTCCAAAGTAATCTACGCCTGTGTATGAAAATGGTCTTACGAATGGAGTAAGTCTGTCCTTAGGGAGCTGACCCATCAATGGCGTTTGCGGAACAGCTGACAAATTTTTGCACAGCTGACAGTTTACTTTAATCGATCTTAACAGGCGGCGAATGCTTGGGATACAATACTTGCAACGTATGGCGGCAATCGTTGCTT